TAGATAATGGATGGATGTAATTTTCAGCCCTGAAGATCTGCTGATGAAGTTATGAGGCTCAGAAATGATGGAGAAACTTCCACCCACCTCTCTGTCCTTTAAAGGCCTGTAGCTCTGAAACTATTCACAGTATGAAGGTAAAACTGTGCACGGCTTCATTAAATGCACTGAATCAGCTGATTCTGAGTCGATCAAGTGGACAGAACTGAAACGCTGATAACATGGATGTGTTGGTGGACGTATGCTTGTGTTTCCTGGCTCCTACCTCTGTGCGTGGCGTAGAGGGCGGCGAAGGTGACGACGAAGAAGGTGGTGGAGTACTTCCCGGCGTTCACCAGGTGTGGGAACGCCCTCTTGGTGTCGCGGTAACGCCTCAGACACTGGATGAAGCGGCACCAGGCGGGCAGACACTGGATGATGGCGCGCAGGCCGTACGAGTAGCTGTGGCACACGTAGTCGCCGGAATCTGGGATGGAGAGGAAACACGTGGCGTTAATGATCTGCACCTCCTCACGGCGGAGCTCATCACTATGGCGGCCGCGTGTCGGCCTCAGCGCGGCCAAACGTTTACGTTCCATTAGCGGCCGACTAATCGGCTGAGATCAGAGGTGACGGAGCGGAGAGAAATTAAAACCTGATCTACATCATAATCTGTGACAGTTGGGCTCAGATGTCCTGCTCGCTGTCAGCAGCTCTCACATCCACAAGGTTTATGTCTTCATCCTCAGGTGAACATACGAAGCATCGCTGGAGAACAAACTCTGTGACTACTGTTAAATATAAAACCTGATTAATCACTGATTATTTCAAGGCTTGCAGGCACAGATTTGGAGATAATTGTTAGACACCTGTTTGTTGTTTTCTGTACAAACACTGTAAAGATAAATTCTGTCTAAAAAGAAAGAAAATCTGGCAGCAGGAGTCCAACAACGAAAACTGTAAAAAAAAAAAAATAGTGGAAAAATGCAAATATGTTTAAAATCATAATGTGTGGGGAATTTCAATTCAGTAAATCTTGAAAACTGTGAAATAAGAATTACTATTTGTGAAACTAAAGATCAATGACGTGGGCAGTTTGTGCAGTTTAGATTTTTTTTTTAAACAGTGATTTTATGAGATATTTTCTATAAATTAATAAAACTGGGAAATCTGTAAAATAACAGAAATATTTACCATTTTTCTATCCTTAATATTTTTCTTCTTTCTAATAACAGCAAATATCTGTAAAATAATTATTACATTTAACAAATTTAAACACAGTAAGAAAGTGTTTGTTTTGGGTTTTTAAATGTTTTTTTGTTTTCTTTTTAGGGTCATTGTGTGATTATAATTTAACAAAATAGGCAAAAATTGATTTTTTTTTTTACCCCTTTATATACATAATTCTTCTTTCAAATAATGTTTTTTTTTTGATATATGGATTCAAGTCCAGTAAAACAATAATTTTATGGCTCTAAATTATGAGAGAAATAAAAAACAATTTGTAAAAATACAGATTTTTGATTATTTAGAACGTGACACACTGAAGCTGCCCATAGAGGTGAGAGTTGGCAGCCATGTTGATGTTATTGTTCAGTTTGTAATGTCGAAGCTTCGTGGTTTAATCTGTGGGGACAGATTTGATGTTTTTTTTTTTAACTTTTATTGCCTACTGCTATTATTCTTTTTATGTTTATCGCTTTTATACGCAGGTCTTTTTTCTGTATCTGTTGATCCTGTGCAGCAGTTTTGCTTTAAAAAACGCCGTTTATATAAAACTTTACTACTTATTTAGTCACTGATGCAGTCAAACGCTGTCATTCCCCCCACTCACATTAAACGGATTTTACTACCCGACTGTCGTATAGTTGAATATACGTTGCTTAAAAGTTGTGAGTGGATTAAATGTTTTATTATAATCACAAAACCCCTCTGAAACTCTAACCCTGAATAAACGTCTTAGAAGTTTAAGGAATTAATGTCAGTTTTTGGTACTTTAAACCTTCCTAATCACGTCCCTTAATGTCTGCGTCTTTCCTACAGTTATAAATAAATAAGTAAATAATAAATACAGTTCATGTTTCTACATGTACACAGAAATAATATCTGAGTAGTTTTTCAGTAAAGAAACAAGCAGGGACGACAGATATAGTTAAAAATGCATTAAAATAACGTTTCTTCTTCGGTGATGTTGAGGAAAACGATGAATCCAGAGACAACGTTCAGCTTTTCACTCTGTGTTTAAACATTTCCAGGTTTCAGAGGTTTAAAAAAAAAAAAAAACAAAACAACAGCCATGAAGCTGAACTCACCCTTGAATTTGGGCAGCAGGCCTTTGCTGTTGCTCCACTGCAGCTCGAAGATGTAGAAGCAGATGAGATACTCCAGGTCCATCAGAACCACCACCAGGGAGTTGAGCTGATCGGCCAACCAGAAGTCCGCGAACTCGACCCGGTGGAACGGAGCCGTGAACACTCGGAACTGGAGACGGACGTGGAGGAGACGTTTAGAAACACAAAGAAAGACTTTGGTGGACAAATAGACATGAACGCTGCAGAGATTCTGGAGGTTCTGCTGCTGCCTGTGTTTAAACGTTGAACTGAGGAGGGTACTGAGTACATTTATGATNGGGAGGATATTGATTTGAAATTCGTATCGGAGAGGAATAAAGTCCAGCCGAGAAATAACATTTAGCGCTTTAAAAAAGGGCCGCGGATGAAGTTTGGCGGCTGGCATTTAAATAAATAACACAGAGAAAAAATCAGCGACGGAGAAATGAGACGTTGAAAGGAAGCTGTTAGTCTTTGAGCAGCGGCTCCTTTGTGATACAGAATAATTTCAGGCTAATTGTGAGGCTGTCAGAGGGAGAGTGACTCGACTGTTAATGTCAGGCGTCTCTTTTCATGTGTCCTCCTATTGCTGCCTCAGTATCTCCAGCTCCTCTGTTTTCTTGCTCCTCTAACCTCCTGCCTGGACGTCACACTGTGGAAGCAGAACCTTGTTCATCCACAGACAAACCCTTCTGATTTCCATTACAAAGCTCCAGGCTCTGACACGGAAACCGAGGCTGCTCCTAGCATTCTGCTCTCAAGGTCATTTTAGCTTTCTGAGCCAACAAACACAAAAGCCAGAGCGTTGACACGTTCAACGCGGCTGTCGGCTTGTAGATTTACAGACAGATTCGCTCTTCTGTGAGTAAAGATGGTGATGACAGCAGGTGAGGTTCATGTAAAATCAACCAAATATGACAAAAAAAAATCCAACCTGACGTCCTCAGAATCAGCTGGTGTTCTATGTACAACAACGTCAACGTATTTAATGAATCCATGCAACGTTTTACCTTCATACTATGAATGTTTTCAGAGTTACAGGCTCTTGAGGTTCACAGAGGTGCGTCTAAAATCTGTGTTTTCTGTTATTTCTGAGCCTCATAACTTCCTCAGTTCAGCAAATGGACACATGAACGCATCAGAGCCAACAGACACGTTTAGGTTCTGCTAAAAACTGCAACCAGATCAGTTTTACATCCACTTCAAGTGTCACAATCTACAGACTGAATCTCATTTCTATAACCAACTTAAGCATCAATATTATGGGATGTACCGCAGTTTTAATCCCAAAGCTGCAGCAAAGTCATCCAATCAGAATCAACTTTATTGGCCACGTTTGTACACGCAAACAAGGAATTAGACTCTTAAATTGAGGAGCGAAGAAATAAACTAGAACAATAAGAATCAGAGCAACACAAACACCCATAAACAGCAGCGTTTACAGCAGGAACCATTTTCTGATAATTCACCAGAGAAAACTTTGCATTCTGGGTAAACGTTGAAGGCTCATGTGTGATGGTGGTTGGTCAGAGCAAATTCTAGCCAATGAAAGGATAATTTTTACCCACAGCTGACACCTTTAGCACTCGTTAAATGCAGCAAAGACATAAATTTCTTTAAATAATTGCCAGTAATGAGCATTTTTGCCACAACTTCCAAACAAGTTCACCGGTAGTTTGCTGCCACAGTTCACCTCAACTTCAGAGCACGTCAGTTTATATCGGTCTAATACAGAAACACTAGAGATAACGCTACCCACAGCATTCCAATTTCCTGCTATATGCTTGATTAACATTTGGCAATACTGCCCCAAATGTACAGCAAGCTCATATTTTCATGTACAAAAGGTTCACGTTGTGAAAACAGACAGTCGGCTGCAGCTTCGTATTCACCACACAGACGTCCGTTCATGTGATTCTCAGTGAGACGGTTCATAAGTCAGCAACAGGACCGTAGACACGTTCCATCCTGAACCCAAGTCCGATTCGTGGATGCAAAACTGATCTGGTTGCAGTTTTTAAAAGCTCAAGTGTGATTTTCGGTGTGCAAGGTGGGTCGGTGGTTAGCACCGTCGCCTCGCAGCTAGAAGGTCGCCAGTTCGTGTCCCGGTGAGGACACCCGGGATCTGTCTGCGTGGAGTCTCCATGTTCTCCCCGTGCAGCGTGGGTTCTCTCCGGGTTCTCCGGCTTCCTCCCACAGTCCAGAAACATGCTGAGGT